ATAAAAATAAAATAGAGTAAAAACTGTAGTAATAAAATAGAGTTTAAAAAAGGGTAAAAAAAAAAAACAAAAAAACAAATGGAAGGTGATGAGCAATTATTTGAAATCTGCAATTAAGAAAAAGGTAAAAAAATATGAAATATTTCATTATAATTTAAAAAGAAAAAAGTGAATAAAGAAGCAAATAAGAATGTGACATCGTTAGAAAATGTATTAATACAACATAACATTATGTCAGTGTAAAGAAAACCCATTTACTTCTGAAACCAATACCCATTATTGATTTTTATAAAGTCTTTTATTACTTCATTTGGGAGAAACTTCTCTACCTTTACATGAGCATGCAATAAAATATGCTTATGTGTGGTTCATGGATATGGGTATTTTTTTTGTCATTTCAGATGTCCAGATAGTCAATGACTTAATTGAGAGGAGCCAAGGAAGTCATGGTAGATACTTGTGGCAAGGTGTAATCATCAATGGCAACCAGTCAACTGAGGAGAGAGTGGAGTTAGGAAAATCAGTGAATTCATATTCAGTGCATATTTTAAATCTGTTACAAATAATGAAAACTATTCAGGAGTGAGGCATGAGGAGTTTAACAAATGTCAGAATGCAGTTCTTCCAGAGATTGATGCCATGTGTCCTGGACAGAAACCTGATGAGCACAATATATCTGAGGAATCACACAGTCATCATGAGCATCTTAATCAGCATCCTAAGATTCCAGCTGGGCAAATTTTGAATATAGTGGAAACAGACAATCCTCCAATACAGTGCCAATAATATTTGCATATAAGAAAATTCATATAGGTGAGACCACTTGTAAATATAGAGAATATGGGAAAGCCTGTAATAAGTCATCTGTCGTAGCCCAAGAGATAGCTCTAGTAGGGAAGGAAACTTTTCAGTGTGTTGTATGTGAACTGACTGTGTCTTTTTAAAATAAAACCACTCTTTTCTCTTGTTTGCATAGCCTGCAATCTGAGTATTCCATGATTGGGTGGATGACCGTGTAATTTAACTCTGTTCAGGGGAATGTAGATATAAGTGGTGAACGTTACTTCCAGTTCAGGCAACAAAATTTTATTTTTTTTTATTTACTTTTTATTTTTATTTTTATTTTTTTGTCTTTTTCCGTGTCTGGCAACGGATCACAACCCTCAGTGTCGCCCCCATACTGGA